AACATTAGCTACGCTAAGAAACAAATCCTAAAATGTGAGTGGCTTGACTCAACAGTATTTTTTCCTAATACGTGAAAAGTTCACAATCGTGGAGGACAGGCTCTGTGCCACTCATTCTTTTAAGGACAAGACAGATGAAGCCTCTGCCATTTTCAATATTTGACTTGCATAGCTCAGTTGTCCTGATATTTGCACACAGTTTATAGACAGAGGAAGAGAGCCAGGGCAGAACGAAGTGGTAGGTCTCTAGGCGAGATCTGGAAGTGGTGCACATCAATTTCACCCACACTACCTGCAAGGGAGGCTGGGAAATGTAGTCGAGCTAGAGTCAAATGGTTAGATGAACAGGCAGCCCAGTGAGTAAGAATTTCCCCGCCAGAAATAGAATGAAGAATGGCTTAAGCAGGGGCAGAAATTTTCAATATGTATCCAGAGATTCTAAGTGATTAAAGTTATGTAGAACATACAATTCATGTAAGAGCATATTGGGAGAAAAAGCTACAAAGGGAGGCTGAATCTGGGTCAAACAAAACTTTAAATACCTCATAAGAGTATTAAGCTTATTGTGACCCTCAGGGACCTTTGTTAAAAGGTTCTAAAGTGATTTTTCACAGGAAAAGATCTGTCAAGTAGGTGGAGGTGAAGATATTCATCCATGGGGGAAAAAAATAGAAGATAAATTAAGCAAATCTGGATAAAGATGGTCTCTACTTTGGTGTATTTTTGAAAGCCTTTGTAACAAAAATGTTTTTAAAAGATAGTAAGGGCCCTTTAAAAAAAAAATCTCTCACTGGACATACTACAGCATAATAAAACCAGTAAAGAGGAAAAAAGTTTTCAGCTATTCATGCTTTAGTTGTACCATGAGAGCAACTAGTCAATGGGTGACCACTTTGAAAGCTCTAGGACAATAAAAATTTTAGCCCGAGGTGTTATTTTATGGGAAGCTCTAATATTATCACAGCAGCAGCAGTTCGACCCTCTGCTTAAAATCACAGGGACTTGATTCACTGCTCCTCCAAATGTGTCAGAATTAACTTTGCAAGCAATGCCAGAGAGGACGGCCTCCATCAGTGCTGTAAATCTATGCGGTGGATAGGCCAAGACGAGAAATGAATTACCTGAAAGACTCACAAAGCCCTTCTGTAGCATCGTGATTTGTTGTTTTTCATCACCTCCACCTCACCCTGTAATGCTGAGTCCTATTGGAATCACCGAACCGTATTTGCTCGTAAATCTCTTTTGTTTCAAGGCCAAAGACAGGGTTACCCTCATATCTTTCTACCAAGAAACATTCCAGGTAGTCCCAGTCAGGCAGAAGTTTAGGCCTCGCCCCACAGACATTTAGGAGATTTGGGATTTGCCAACGTTTTTAACAACTGCTCCTTTAACAAAGAGAGAGAATTTTTCTGGGCTTACGCATTTCAAGTTCTAGAGAGATAGCCATGTTATTCTTTGCAGCCTAGCAGAAAACCTTTTTTGGTCTTTTGGAAATAGATGATAAAACAGAAAAGACCAAAAAAAGAAAAAAAGAACAGAAAACACAGTGATAAGAGAAATCTGAGCACCCACATTTTACAGCTGTTGATCTTGGGCAAACTCTATAACTTCCATGAGCCTTACATGAGAATGATAATGCTGATTACACAGAATCCTTGTGTGAAAAAAATAACACATACCAAGTGCCTGATAGTGCCTGGCACAGTATATGGTATAAAATGTATGCTCCTCCTACATACTCCATTTCCCCTACATACACTGTGTTCAACTGCTGGCCCTGCCTATGATGAACAGAGCACTGTATCCTATCTTGGGTATCACAGGTTTCCTGCCTGGGGTACCACAGCACCACAGAAACATGGGAGAAACTGTAGCTGACCTCAGAACAGGGAGAAGAACCAGAAGAACCGCCCAACTGAAGTGATGTTGCCATCTCTGGAAAAGTAAATTTTGGAGGCAGTAAGAGCAGGTCAAACAAGCTAGCCCTCCACAGAGGCCCTTGAAAACATAGTATTTCTTCTCTGTACTCTGCCCTCTGAGCTCAAGAGCCCTTAGAAGCCCTAGTTTCTCCCATGTTTTCTTCTAGGTGTTTTATAGGTTTAGACTTTACATGGAGACCTGGGATCCATTTTAAGTTAATTTTATATTATGTTAATTGTAGGTTTTTGTAGATGCCTTTTATCTGTATAGAGGAACTACTCCTAGTTTATCAAGAGTTTTTTTTAAAAAACTGGATGTTGGATTATATCCAGTGCTTTGTTTTTTCCTAGTCTATTGAGATGATAATATTTTTTTTCTTTTTAGTTTGTTAATGTAATGAATTATATTGATTTTTGAATGTTACGCCAGCATGCTTGGGATAAATCCTACCTGGCCATGATATATTATCTTTTTTTATACATTGTTGGATTAAGTTTGCTAAAATTTAGTTTAAAATGTTTACATCTATATTGATGAGTGATATTGATCTGTAGTTTTCTTTTCTCGTGATAGCTTTTCCAGTTTTGTATCTGGGTAATGCTGGTGTCATTGAGTGAGTTGGTATATGTTTCTTTCACTTCAATATTCTAGAAGAGCTTATGTAGAACTGATATTATTGCCTTCTTGAATGTTTGGGAGAATTGCCAAAAAGCATCTAAATCTAGAGTTTTCCTTATGGGAGGATTTCTAAACTATAATGTCAATATTTTTAGCAGATATATGGCTCTGGAGGTTATCTAGTTCTCCTTGAGTGAGTTTTGGTAGTCTGTGCCTTTCAAAAAGTTTCCCATTTCAATTAGGTTGTCAAATGTATTGGCATAAAGTCGTTCATGATATTACCTTATTATCTTGTTAATATCTCTAGTGATGTCACCTTTCTCATTCTTGATATTGGTCATTTGTGTCTTTCTTCTTTCCTTGAAGTTCAGTTTTATCAGGTGTATTAATTGTATTGGTTGTCTCACAAAACTAGCTTTTTGTTCATTGTTCTTCTCTGTGGTTTTTCTGTTTTCTGTTTCACTGATTTCCATTCTGATCTTAATTATTTTGTTTCTTTTGCTTATGTTTTAATTTCCTGTCATACATTTTAATTTTATATATGTAATAAACTCCACACTACATAGTTATTTTTATTTAAACAGCAAATTTATTTCAAAGAGATTTTAATAAAAAGAAGAAAAATCTTACATATTTACCCTTGTAAATTTCTGGTGTTCTTTATTCCTCTGAACCAAACTGATATCTGGTACCATTTTCTCTGCTTAAAAAATGTCTTTTAAAATTTCTTATAATGTAGGTTTGCTGGGAATAAGTTATTTAAAGTCTTGGATGTATGAAAATTCTTTACTTTGTTTTCATTTTTTAAAGATATTTTTGTAGAGTATAGAATTCTAGGTTGACAGATTTGTTTTTTCCTTTTAATACTTTAAAGATCTTACCCCATTATCTTCTTGCTAGAATAATTTCCAAGAAGAAATCTCCTGCCATCCTTATCTTTGTCCTTGCCTATGTAATGTGTTTTTTTTGTTGTTGTTGTTTTTTTGCCTCTAGCTACTTTTAAGATTTACTCTTTAGCATTGATTTTGAGTGATTTGATTACAACCTGACTTGATGAACCTTTTGTCATGTTTCTTATTCTTGGGGTCCATTGAACTTTTGGATCTGTGGGTTTATTGTTTTCATCAAGTTTAGAAAACTTTCAGCCATTGTTCCATAGTTTACTGGGGCTCTTTTTTTTTTTCTGGTCTATTTGGTCTCTGTTTCACTTTGGATAGCTTCTATTTCTATGCCTTCATGTTTCTAATCTTGACTTTTGCAATGTGTAATCTACCATTAATCCTAACCAGTGTATTTGTCATCTCAGACATTGTAGTTTTCATCTCTAGAATTTTGATTTGGGGATTTTACATCTTTCGTGTCTCTACCTTTTTAAACAAATTGAATGTAATTATAATAGCTGTTTTAATGTCCTTGTCTGCTAATTCCAACATCTGTATCAGCTCTGGATTAAGTGTTTCAGTTTCATACCTAATCTTAACAAACTTAAGAACTTTATTCTCATTTTATTTGTAATTTACTGCTTCTTTGCATGTTTGGTAATTTTTAATTGACTATCAGATACTGAATTTTAGCATGTTGCTGGATATTTTTGTATTTCTATAAATATTCTTATATATTGTTCTGATACACTGTTATGGTACTTGGAAAACTTGTTACCTTTTCAGGTCTTGCTTTGAAGATTTGTTAAGACAGAGAAATGCCTAATCTATTAATAATTATTCTACTACTGATGACTTTTCTGAGTATTCTACCTTATGCCCCATGTGTTGTGGGTTTTTCCCAGTCTGGCTGGTGTGACCAGGCATTATTCCTGGCCCTATGTGAGCATGGGGCATTGTTTCCTCCACTCTTCTTGAATGGTTCTTCACCAGCCTCAGGTAGTTACCTCACTTGCATGCACTGATCAGTCCTCAGCTAAATACTTAAGCAGGACCCTTGGGGTCCCTGGAGTTCTTCTTCTGTGTCTCAATCTCCTCTCTGTGCTCTGCCCTCTGAACTCTAGCTGTACAGGTCTCCCTGGAGACCTCTCAGCAGTCTGCCTTCTCAATCCTGGAACCCATCAGGGCACTCCTGGATCCTCCCTTCTTGTGTCACAACCTCGATGGAAACTCTCTGAAGGTGGTAAGCTATGGAAATCCTAGCAGAGCCCTGATCTACTTACCTGTGCAACAGATGCATACATTTTTAACAGAAAAGACCCCCTCTTCCACAGTTCATGAAATGATATCCAACAAGGAATAGGTTCTCAACTAATTTTGTCAAACTGAAAGGAATGTGTCTATACCCTCCAAAGAAGGGTAATTTAAAACCCCCATAACTTCACTTGCTCACACTCCAAATCTCTCTCACATCCCTTTAATCTACCTATTTATCAGGAGAATTCCAGAAGGTAGTCAGGTCAACATACATTTTATTTTGTTGTATTTAGACTTAAAAGTCAAATAAGTGTGGGATTTTTTTTTTCTTTTTTTTTTTTTTTTGAGTTAGAAACAGATGTTTTAGCATCCTGAGGAAGCCCTAATATGATAAGCCCTTAAAATGAGAACATTACAGTATCACTGGGAACAGATAATTGTAAAAACAAAATATTTCAGCTCCCAAAAGTCCAAGTCTATGGAGATGGAAGTAACAGAGGAACAGGAAATAGCATGATTATCACCCACAGTCATTTCCCAGGGTGTTTCAAAAACTGGCATAACTTCTAATGACCAGTGACAATTAATTAGTAAATACCACTGCCCACTGAAAAGTTCTCAGTTTTGAAAAAAAAAAAATTATCTTCCTCCAGCAGAATGTGACAGTCCATCCCACCCCTGTTAAAGTGTGGCCTGGGTCCTCATACGCATTTCCTCTTTAGAGCAGTGGTGGATCCGTGGCGATGGCACCCTCCTTCGCTGCCTCAGCGTGACACCACCATCCATCTCTCCTGGAAAGACGAAAAATTATGGACGGTCACAAGACTGTAAAATTGGAAGTCGGATGGGGGACGTTCAAGTTCTGTTCAGCTGCTCCCTGTGTGTGAGGTATTGAAAAAATTTTTTTCCTCAATTTGTTTGAGGTAAAACTTTTTTTTTTTTTTTGAGATTTTGTAGGGCTGCCATAACAAAATACCATAGATGGCTGGCTTAAATAACAGAAAATCTATGTTCTCGTAATTCTGGAGGCTGGAAGTCCAAGATCTAGGCATTAGCGGGTCAGCTTTCCTCTGAGGGCTCCCTCCGATTTGTGGAAGGCCACCTTCCCGCTGTGTTTCATCCTTCTGTTGGTGTCTATCTACATCCTAATCTCTTCTTCGTATAAGGACACCAGTCACATGGGACCAAGGCCCACCCTATGACCCCATCTTAATTACCTCATTTAAGGTCCTTTCTCCAAATACAGTCACATTCTGAGGTCCTCAAGGCAAGGGCTTCAGCATATGAATGCTGAGAGGACACAATTCCATCCATAACAATTCTCAAAGCCACATTTTTCTCAGCCAAAAGGAGATGGCAATAATAATTGCCTTGAAGAACTATAAGACTATAGTAAGAGTTTTGTCAACTTTATTGAAGTAAACATGGGGGGAAAATATAAATCGTAACTGTATAGTTCAATGACTTTTGATAAAATGAACACATCCGGTTTAACACATTAACTGCCATGTGAGTTGTATTTAACTCATGCTATTTTTGAGCCTGGGGCCTCGTGAAGCATATGTAACTCACATGCCTCTTCACCTTGGGAGCTGCAAGAACTATTTTTCAAGTTGCATATAACTCACACACAGAAAACAATAAAAAATAACAAATTTTTCATTAAATTAGAAAGGATTGTTTTGTTTTCGAAGTTTTTATTCTATTTCCGTAATAAAACACCATTAGCCCCAAGGAAAAAAAAATTTTTTTTCTAGTGTGGCAGTCAATGTGTTCATCTCCAAACAAATCAAGTTATAGACCCAGAACCCTCTAGTGCCTCTTTCCACAGGAGGATAACCACTAGCCTGATTTCTAACAAGATAGATCAGTGGTGCTTGTCTTTGTTTATACTCATTTTTCATTTTTCTCGCTCACTCTTATGTTTGCGAGGGTCATCCATGTTGTTGCGTATCATTGTATCATAGATAGTTAATTCTCATAGCCGTGTTGTATTCCATTGTATGAACACACCACAGTTAATTTGTTCATTCCACTGTTGATGGATATTTATGTTGTCTCCAGTTAGGGCCAAAACTAGTAGTGTCACTATGAAAATTCTTGCACCTATCTTTTGTTGAAAACATGTACACATTTTATGGGTATATGCCTGGGAGAGGAAATTCTATGTCCTAAGGTTTGCATATGCTGAACATTAGTAGATACTTTCAAACATTTTCTAAAATAGTTTATGAATTGACAACCCCACTGGAAGTGTATGAGAGTCCAATTACTTCACAAAAGGGTATAGTTATTTTTCATAGAGAAAACTTGGAAACAAGCTGCCAAAAATAGGAAATTAGTTAAATAAGTCATGGTGTTTCCATGCATTGTACTAGAAAACACTTATTAAGCATATTATTCTCAAAGCATATTTAAGGATATGGAGAAGTGATTATAGTGTATTAAGTGAGAAAAAACAGATTACCAAACACTGCTTGTGCCCAGTGTTGTTTATTTAAAAAAAAATTAAGTGTATATACTATATCTGCATTAAAAGAAACCAAATGTTAACCTTGGTTTTCTCTGAGAGATCGGATTACAGATGATTGTTTTCCTCTTCCTAGTTTTCCATATTTGTTCTTTAAAACATTCTTAAATGACCATTTATTGCTCTTATAATTAATTAGGTAGAAGACAATACATGTTATAAATAAATCATCCTTTCTTTTTTTTCTTAGGTTGTCCACAAGACCCAAGGAGAAAATGCCCATGGAAGCCCTTTGGGAAAAGGCCAAGCACTAGTTGAATGTCAGTTGTTGTTGTTATCCTAATCAGTTCTGCTTGACTGCTTTCTACCACTAGTTGAACAGAAAGCTAAACATGTGGAGAATGAGCAGGGAGTTGACCTGGCCACAGGAGTGCGGCAGGTGAGGGCGGAGGGCCCAGTCTCTGTCTCAGAGCTGCTCAGCCCTAGCTGCACTTTAGAACCACCTGGACAGCTTTAAAAATGTCAGTAAGCTGAATGGGAATTTCCAGGTACAGGGCCTCAGCATTTCCCAAAAGCTCCCCATTAAATTCCCATATACAACCGGTTTGAGAACTTCTATTCTAGGTGGAGGCAGGACCTTGCACTTTTGGCCACTATTTGGTCATTTGTTGAGAGTGAGGGGTTGGGGGACGGAGCTGGGACATGGTTAAGCCCTGAAAGAAACCCTTGCAGGGTCTGAAGTTCCTAGCATGCCATCAGGCCCGTGATGTGTGTTAGAATCTCAGCCTGACATTGTTCCTTTGGGTGGGGCTGGGAAAACTAAAATCTGAGGACCTCTGGAAAACCGTGTCTGGTTCCCTTACAGGAAGCTTTCCTGGCCTATGTGCTATAGATAATAATGACAGTGCACATTTACAGAGCAGATTATGGCTATCAGTGCAGTTTCCTGGGCATTACCTCACTGCGGCCTTGTAATCCTTTCTTCTTTTTTTTTTTTTAATTTTTCTTTAACATTGGTGGATACTTATTCCAGTACTTCCCCATTTAGTAGCTTTAGTGAGGTATAATTGATGTACAATAAACTGCACATGTTTGAGTGAATCATTGGATACGTTTTGGTAGATGTGCACTCCCGTGAAACCATCACCAAGGTCGCGGTGGAGAATGTCCCCACAGCCCCACAAGCGTTCCTCTTACTCCTTAATAATCCCTTCGTGTGACCCCATCCCCCACCTCCAGGTAACCACTGATCTGCTTTCTGTTACTGAGGACCGGTTTGCACTTTCTAGAATTATGTATAAACTAACTTATACAGTATTTGTCTCTTTTCAAACACCATGATTATTTTGAGACCCATTCATGTTGTTGCTGACTAAGAGTCCATCGTATGGAGATAGCACAATTTATTTATCTATTTTCCTATGGAAGGACAGTTGAGTCATTTCCAGCTTGGGGCTATTCCAAATAGAGCAGCTGCAAACATTCATGTGCAAGGCTTTGTAGGGACACCTGCTTTCAGTTCCTTTGGGTAGATAGCTGAGAGTGGAATGTCTGTGTCATATGGTAAGCGTATGTTTCACTTTTTCAGACACTACCAAATTATGTACCAAAGTAGTTGTGCCATTTTACATTCTTACCAGGAGTGTAAGAGGGTTCCAGTTCCTCCAAATTTTCATCAGCATTTTGTATGGTGTGTCTTTTTAATTTTATCTATTCTTATAGGTATGTAGTGTTATCTCATTATGGTGATTTCCTTAATGACTAATGATAAACTTCAACCTAGACCTCACATAGTGATACTGTGATTTTTTTAATACTCTCTCTATGTATATATATATACATGTGTGTATATTTATATATCTTTCTGGCTGCAAATATCCTAAAACCCTTGTAATTTCCTGAGCAATAGGGGTGCTAGGTACAGCTTTGTTCTACTATTGGGTCTTTAACCCTGCTTCCTGACACAGAGCCCCTAATCCCTTGGGATTTCCTGGGTGATAGGAGCATCTTTCGTTCTAATGAGGCAACTCTTGAGGGGGCTCCTGGATGGGGCTGGTCACCAGACCAAACCATGGTTAGAAGTTCAAATTTTCAGTCCCACCTCTCCTCTTCCAGGAAGGGGAGAGGGGCTAGAGGTTGAGTTAATCATTGGTCCTGCTATGTGATGAAGGTCCATAAAAAGCCCTGAACTACAGGGTCCAGAGAGCTTCCAGGCTGGTGAATGAGAACGCACCCACATGCCGGAAGGGTGATGCACCCCAGCTCCGTGCACCTGGGATCCTTCCGAACTTCGCCCTTTGTGTCTCTTCGTCTGGCTATTCATGTGGACCTTTTAAAATATCCTCTATAATAAATCAGCAATAAGATATAAATTGTGTCCCTGAATACTATGAGCCATTCTAGCAGATGATTGGACCCAAGGAGGGAGTCATGGGCACCGCCAATTTATAGGCAATGGTAGAAGTACCAGAGCCCTGGACTTGCACTTGGCATCTGAAAGGAGGGGCAGTCTTGTGGGACTTGGCCCTTACCCTGTGGGATCTGACTCTAACTCCAGGTAGATAGCATCAGAATCAAATTGAATTATAGGACACCAGCTGCTGTTGACCAGAGAAACATCCCCACACATCTGATGATAGAAGTGTTCTGGGTTGAATATTCACAGTATATTAGGAGTAAACAGTTTGACTTTTCTTACTACATACCCAAAATACCCAAATATTAACTCAAAATGAAAATGAATTATAGATCTAAATGTAAAAAAAAAAATTATAAAGCTTTTAAAAGAAAACACACCTGCAAAACATTTGCAACCTAGAGTAGGCAAAAATTTCTAAAGACATGAAAGAAAAAATAATAACATTTATAAAATAATAAACAAAGCATCCTCATAACTAAATACTTCTATTCTCCCCAAAATACTATTAAGAGAATAAAAATGCAAGCTACAGACTGAGAAATTTTTGTACAGCCCACAACTGCTAAAGGACTTATATCTAGACTATATTAAGAACTCTCAAAACTCAATGAAAAAGGGCAAACAATCCAATATTTTTAAGCTAGCAAGAGATTTGAACAGACATTTCACCAGAGCAGATAATATGGATAGTAAATAAAAACACAAAATATGCCCTACACCATTAGCCCCACTAATCACTTTTAAGGTAAGCCAGTTAGGTATTATTACTGTTATTATTCCCACTTTGCAGATGAGGAGACAGACTCAAAGTCAAAGCCAAGTGACCTAGGATGATGCAAGTAGCAAGTAAAGAGTCTGTACTTGAGTCTCTGACTCCAGCCAGTGTTTTTCCGTGACATCCC